TAATCGCATGCCAATGTGCATTGGCTCGTTTAGTTTACACTCGTAGATTGGTAACAAGTAGATTGGTCCCTCTAAGCGAGATCACAATTTCGTCGGTCATCCGACGTGACGTCGAGAGTGACCGACTGAAAGGGAACCCTGGTCATGGCTAAAAAAAATATATATCTCATATATTTATAATAAAATTCAGCTAAACAATTTAAAATTTCTCTTATATAGAAATTCACCTAAAATATAAATGTTATCTTATATATTAATATAAAATGTTACCTAAACATTATATGTTGTCCAATTATATATTTATATAATAGTTCACCTAAAGATTTTTCTCTTATATATTCATTTAAAAATTCACTTAAATAAGTTTTTCTCATAAATATTCTTACAAAAAATCACCTAAAATATACATTTGTTCTCTTATATAGTCATAAAATAAATTCACCCCAAAATATATATTTTCTCTTGGGTATTCATATAAAAACTTCCCTGAAAGATATACATTTTCCTTGTATATATTCATATAACAATTCGCATAAAATATTTTTCTCTTATATATTCATATAAAACTTCACCTAAAAGTATTTTTTCTCTTATGTATTCATATACAAATTCACAAAAATATTTTTTCTCTTATGTATCCATATAAAAATATATTTGTTCTATTTTTTAGAGTGTAGTGAAACCAATTTAATAAATGTAAGAACTGGTGATTGAAAGGCTCGTATCGGTCTACCACTGTTGTGAATTTAAGGGGCGACATTTCCCCTTCATATGGTGTATATGGTGTTTACAGCTCTGATTTAAAGCCATGAAATAACATGTAGTCGAGAACGAAACCGATTTTAGGCACGAAAGATCCAGCTAAGTTGGACGTGACCATATTGTTTTCCTTCGTCATTTGATGTTGGAGTGAGAATAGCGTGTTTGTGTTTCTCCGCTCAGCTGAATGCAGACGCACTCCTCGAACTCTTCGTGTAATTGCAGGTTTTCCAAGGTTGTGGACAGCCGAAGCCTTCAGGAATGAGCAGGTCAGCCCGCGGCGTCTCCGACACGTTCAGCGGCCGCTTCAGTCCCTACAACCCCGAGGAGCTTCCGACCGCCACGGACGCCACTCGCCTCGACCGCCTGGTAAGAGCAAATCTAGCGTGATCAGACTCAAGTACCTGCGGGAAACACGGGCTCCGTCTCAAACCTCCTGAGCTGCCTGCAGAGGCACCCTGATGTTTTAGGAGAAATTAGTACTTTTATTCAGCAAGGGTGCATTAAATTGATCACAAGTGACATTAAAGACATTTAGAATGTTACAAAAGAACATCATAATGATTTCTGAAGGATCATGTGACACTGAAGACTGGAGAAATGATGCTGAAAATTCAGATTTGATCACAGAAATAAATTACATTTTACAATATATTCACGTAGAAAACAGCTATTTTAAATTGTAATAATATTTTTACTGTAATTTTGATCAAATGTGACCCTGGGTGACCCTGGGTCAATAAGGGTCAATTTTTTGAAATTGAGATTTATACATCATCTGAAAGCTGAATAAATAAGCTCTCCATTGATGTATGGTTTGTTAGGATATGACGAAATGTGGTCGAGATACAACTATTTGAAAATCTGGAATCTGAGCGTGCAAAAATTTAAATATTGAAAAAATCACCTTTAAAGTTGTCCAAATGAAGTTCTTAGCAATGCATATTACTAATCAAAAATTAAGTTTTGATATATTTACAGTAGGAAATTTACAAAATATCTTCATGTAACATGATCTTTACTTAATATCCTAATGATTTTTGGCATTAAAAAAATCTATAATTTTGACCCATACAATGTATTGTTGGCTATTGTTACAAATATACCCCAGCGACTTAACACTGCTTTTGTGCTCCAGGGTCACAAATGAATGCAGCTTTGGTGAGCAGAAGAGACATTCAAAAATATTAGAACCAAACTTTTGAATGTGATGCTGTATTAAAATGAGGAATCTTACATAACTGCTGACATTTTGCCTTTGAATCACATCTATGATGTCTTCAAATACACTCTAAAAAATGCTGGGTTAAATACAACCCGTGCTGGGTAAAATAGGGACAAACCCAGCAATTGGGTTGTTTTGACCCAGCGGTTGGGTTACTACCCAGAAGGTTGGGTTAAACATTTAACCCACCCGCTGGGTCAAAACAACCCAATTGCTGGGTTTGTCCCTATTTTACCCAGCACTGGCTTGTATTTAACCCAGCATTTTTTAGAGTGTACTGTCTACGTAGGCAGCACACTAGGTTTTGAGACGAAGCCATTATCTGTAACCTTCTTGATTGAAGCTGATGGCAGACTCTCGTTCACGTTGATGGCATAATGAATTCTCGTTTTCTCTTGACCTTCAGTGAAGACTCTCTATTGATTGGCATTTGCTAGCATATTGACTGCTACATGTCAGCCTAAAAATATTTACAATTGTTGTTGTCAAAGTTGTGTACATACTGCAAATCTTACTGTTTGTATACATTGGTTCAACTATGTGTCATATTCTTTAACTTTTTAACTTTTTTTATGTTTTTGAAAGAAGTCTCTTCTGCTCACCAAGGCTGCATTTATTTGATCTAAAAAAACAGTAAAAATTGTGAAATATTATTAGCATTTAAAATAGCTGTTTTCTATGTGAATATCTGTTCAAATGTAATTTATTTCTGTGATCAAAGCTGAATTTTCAGCATCATTACTCCAGTCTTCAGTGTCACATGATCTTCAGAAATCATTCAAATATGCTGATTTGCTGCTTATTTGATTATTATCAATGTTGAAAACAGTTGTGCTGCCCAATATTTTTGTGGAAACCGCGACACATTTTATTTTTCAGGATTCTTTGATGAATAGAAAGTTCAAAAGAACAGCATTTATTTTAATTAGAAATCTTTTGTAACATAAAAAATGTCTTTACTCTGATTTTTGATCAATTTAATGTGTCCTTGCTGAAAAAAAGTATATATAAAAATACACACACACACACACACACACATATATATATATATATATATATATATAT